AAAATCTATTTACCAGTACTTCAGGTCCCTACTAAATTTTTTTCTCCTGAGAGAGCTGTGGTTTGCAATTTGGGTCAACAGTCACTTGTCAAGAGATGGTTATTTAGTCACTGTTCCAGCTCTTTCTTCTAACTGATCTGAAATGTTTACCCGTCTACATGGTACTATAATGATTGGTTGAAAGCAAAAGACTTTTTGGTGGAGCAAGGGTAAGCACAATAGCAGTTTGGTGGTTTTCTGTTGTGGCTGAGATGACATTGTGTTTGTGTTATGTGTCCATATACTGTCTTGTTTTTTCTTTTTATTGACTTGCTGTGGAAGTAAACTCTTTAACTAGAATGACATTGACTCTGAAGCCAGATGGACTTAAGTTCATTAGTGGTGACATCTTAGAAAAGCCAAATAATGTCTCTCAGATTCAGTCAATGCATCTGTAACTTGAACATGATAACACCGTATATGCCTGGCATGTCACTGTAATTGTTAAAAGGCTGCTCAGCGTCTATCCTGTGCTTAGCACACATTGCTTCAAACTTTTAATATATCTCTAAATCAACTGGGGATCTTGTTAAGATGCTGACCTTTATTTAGTAGGTCTGGGGTGAAGCCTGAGGTTTTCCGCTGCTAGCAAACTCTCAAATGGTACTCATACTACAGAGCTATGGACCACACTTGGAATAACAAGGGTGTAGATACCATTTACAGAGTGCCTAGTAGAGTTAGTGAATAATACATCATTGCCCTGGAATAATTCAATCTCTCATTTAAAAATAACTGAGAACAAACCCTTTTCCTACAAACGTAATGACCAGTGTGCCAATAACTATGTCCCAATAGCTTTTATGAATTCTGTCTGATCAAGATTGACCATGGCTGGTAATATCTGAAGGTAGGTGGTGGGTACATGGGAGAGTTCATTACACTATTTTTTTGCCTTTGTGTTTAAATTATTTCCATAATACATTTTTTAATTTAAAAAAGAAAACCCCCACAGAGCATGGTGCCCCATACCTGTGATCTTAGCACCATGGGATACTTAGGGAGGAGAATCTCAAACTGTAGACCAGCCTGGGTAATTTATCAACTGACATCCTGTCTCAAAATTAAAACTAACTAAAAAGTCCCAGGCATGGTGGTACATGCATGCCTGTAATCTTAGTACTTTGGAGACTACAGCAGGGTTTCTGAGAGTTCAAGGTCAGCCAGGGCTACACAGTGAGCTTTAGGCCAGCCTGAAATACATGACATTCTGTCTCAAAAAAGTCCCCTGGCCTCCTTAAAAAGGGCTGAGGATATAGCTCTGTGTGAAGGACTGGATTCAATCCACAGTCCCAAGGTAAACAAACAATTCAAGAAGGGATTTTCTGGGTAGTGAAACTATTCTGTATGGTACTGTGAGGTACATGTCATTATATACATTTTTCCCAGCCCACAATGTGTCACGTCATTGAACACTAGTATTAATTGTGCACTTGAGTGTCTAATGTTTTGACATAGTCTACTGGTTGTAACAAATATAGCAGTGATGTCAGATATTGACAGCAGGGGAACCTGTGTATATATGTGATGGGAATTCTATAAGTTCTACAGTCTTGCTATAAACCCAAAACTGCTCTAAAAACTAAAGCCTACATACATAAAAAAAAAGACAAGCAGGAAACACTAATTTCCTAATAGCCTAGAACAGCAGAAGATACATTAGTACAGTGATTAGCTCTAAAAATACATTTTCAGGAGACTAAGAGCTTTTGTTTAAATTTTCCAAATGAATCCATTTCTATCCTTGCCTCCTGTGTCTTTTGATTGTGCAAATGTAATTTACTGTGGAGCTTCAAATGTGTGTAATGCCAAGTTTGCATCCTACCATCCATTGCAGGGTTTAGCACTTTTTTAAAACATTAGCAGAACTCAATTTTGTCAGCATTGATTTTGCATTGTCTTTCTGTACCATGGTGGACTTAGGAAATCATTTATTTTCACTTTAGTGAAACAAGCTGTCCCCAGCCTACCTTGATCAGATCAACTGCCTAGCTTGTGCGATCAAGTCGCTAATTGGAAACTGCATTCAGTGAGCAGGACATTCCCCACTGCCGTCCTCCTTGACCTAGGTCCAGTTTTTATTAGGTGCTGAAGCTGACATAACCCAGAGTATGTCATTTGTTTCATTTATTGACGATCCTTTGGTTAACTAAGAGATAAGCAAAGCTGAGAAATACTAAATGAACAAAATAAGGGAAACAACCAAATTGGATTTAGTCAGTCCATTCTTGCATTTTTGTCGTTGGCCCTAAAGGGCCTCTCCAAGGAGTGTCCTAATTTATTCCTTTTCTCTGCTTATGGCTCAGTCTTTGATGTGGTAACTAAGTAAACCCTCATCCTGAAGCCCTTAGCTAGGTCAAACTCTTGTTATTCTGTTTGGTACTTAATCCTGGGAACTAATGTTCTGCTCTGCTATGTTCTTTGTCACTTTCAGATTATAGATGTAGCCAATATTTTCCTAATGCAATAATCACTAACTTAACATTCTGCTGCTGGAATAATAAGGCGAGGGTTCCTCCGATTTGAATCTCCTAATGTAGCCACAGGGTTTCCATTTTGCCAACTTCCTTTACGTCTAAATTGTACCGTTTAGGCATGTGCTCTCTAAATGTCAGAGCATTAGGTGTTACTTGAAAACTCCAGTCTCTTTGCTAGTAGCAAAGTTTTGAAACCTTAGCACCTATTTCTGTGGGCATGCAGAAACCCTATAGGTATCTCCTTAGCAGCTGCTATAGTCTTTCCACTTAATCGCTCAGTGAATGAAAATACCAAGGAGACACACGCCTCCAGACTCCTTTCTAGAAACAAGAAACTTTACATGATGACTTTGTACAATCCTTTTTGAAGTGAACTCAGGTGGCAGAATTGTGCTGGCCTAACGATTTAGAGGTGGCAGAAACACCTGCCGTGACAGATAATTACAACCATGCCTGTGTTTCTTGCTGTGCGTTTCCTGTTTGCTAGCTGCTTTCAGGATGAATCATATTTGTTTTCATGATGACAACTACTTCACTGCCTCTTCCTTGACTGAACTTTGTAATACATAGGGCTCTTTGGCTAGTTACGTTCTTTCCTCACTAGCCTATGTCCATCTTGGGGAATCTTGGCAGCAAAAGGTTTTCTTCAAGGTAGACTGAAACTAACAGCACACTCCTCTGTCTCCAATTATTTCCCTCAATAGTGTTTCAGATATGTTTCTAACTCATATTTCACTATTCTCCTTTCCCTTATTGAATTCGCAGAACTATGAGACATGAATAGGAGAACTAGAACTCTGAGTTCCTCAGAACTGACCCTAATAAAACGTTGAGGACCAGCCAAATAGCTCAGTGGATTAAAGTGCCTTCTTAGGCAGATGGAGTACTGGCTGACCAAGGTTCAATCCCAAACCTGCCGTGCTGTCCCCACCCCCAGGGCTCACTGAGACAGCAAATGAGACTGGGTGTGGTGGCACATGCCTGTAATCCCAGCTTTTTGGGAGGCTGAAAACAGGAGGATCACTATGAGTCTGATCTAGTAGTGAGACCCTGTAGACTCTTACTAAAAATACAAAAACAAACAAACAAACAACCAAACAAAAAAATGTTGAAATCAATGTGAAACTCAGGTCTCCATTTCTTTTATTTTTAAAGTAATTTGGTTTTGTACAATGTATTATCACACAAAGCTGTGTGTGCACTTGAACGTGTGTGCACAACACAGAGGACTTGAGAAACAGATAGAGAAACGAGAGAGCTTTCCAAACAGAAGCTTTTCTTCTTATGAAGTTCAAAGTAGATTACATTGATGTGCTTTTTCAGTCATTACACAA